TATCTCGTAAATAGTATTTATAAATACAAAAATTATAATACATAAATGAGTCAGTTATTGAACTAATTGTGAAATAAATTAATATTGCATATACATATAATACAGCATTAATTTGTTTTATAAGTCTTTTAAAAATAAATTGGGATAAAATCTCAATCCTTCGATGCAGTCATCCCTGCAAGCTACTCCATACTCTTCACAAGTCAGAAGTCTTTCTTTTGCTAACATTACAGATATCCCTAACAATTTTGCCAATTCCTCTGCTGATAGTGACCCCTTTTCTTCTATCTTTAATTAGAAAAAAAATATTAATCAAATCAAAACGATAAGACAATAATCTTCTCAGTGCAGCTTGTACTTAAAAATTAATCATGAAGATGCTTTTTTGAACTGCGTACAAAACGTGGCATATTAAATTGGTCTTATTAAAAGTGGAACTTAATAAATTATCTCAACTAAACACGATAAAATACTGTTACTATTCCTTAATAATGACAGTGCCTTTTCTAAAAACTTTTGACAAATGTATCCTATTTCTTTGTAACACTTTTCATATACATAAATTATCTATTTATACTGTTCGTTCTATTAACGTTATAGTTATCTGATTTTATTTCTGTTTGAGTAATAATAAATAGCAAATAACAACCATATTTTCACTTATCTACGAATGCATTGTTTGCTTTTAATTAATAGTGGACACAACATTTCTACTTTACACAAACAGAGTGGAAAAACTCTATGACGAGCCAATGATTACACAGACCTAATTTACTTTACAATCAACAACTTTACAATATTTTTTTGCTTTATTGTTTTGAAATAGTATTTATATCTGATAATGATATTATGTCGAAATTGGACTTAATATTCATTTAATGTGTAAAGAAATTCATTAACTCAGTAAATCAATATTATTATAAAATTACGTTTTAAAACATTTTGTGTGTTTGTCCTTACTTTTAAATTAATTTAAGGGAACAAGCAAATACTAATACTTACTAATTCAAGGGTGTTATTTACGACGTGTTCATTACTGAGAGATGCCAATCTCAAGACCATAACACCAGACTTGAATGTGTGCAATTTTAAGTATAAATTATGTCGTTCCATTTGACGACATGAGGCTAGAAAATCTTCTGGTGACAAAAGTTCCAAACCACGAGCTCTGTTTACTCTACAAAATGCGTCAATTAAAGGCAGGAGGCCCCCTGCATCCTCCAAAGGCTGTTTTACTATTTCAGACACTTGAACAGCCAAATTACTAAAATACTGATCTTCTGTACTAAAAGTGTCCCTTGTTACTGGGTCATCTATTCCCAAGCTAAGCAAATAAGACTTAAACTGGACAGTTTCATCTTCTGTTACATTTCCTTGTTTTTCCTATATAAAAATTCTTTTTAATACCATTATCACATAAAAAATTATTATAATTACCCTTATCTTGTTGGATATTAGCCGGCTTAGCTGTACCATATCTTTTGCCATAGTCATAAGTTTACTGAGATCTTGAAATGCAACTGAAATACTTTCTTTTGTGGCTTTCTGTTTTTCTTGTATGCTTCTTTCAATTCCAACTATACCAGTTCTTAGTTTGATACTAGGCACTGTAACTATTTCCCATTTTTTTAGGCTTATTGTTTCATTTATATGGCCGACAATATCTGTTCTATAGCCTTCCCTAAACGATAACTTTATAAAATTAAAAGTACTCCTAACTTGGGGGCCTTCATTTTTATCTAAAAACATGGTCATCTTTAGGTGTCTTTCCAACCCAGTAAAATAACAAACACATATCATAAAACATGACATATTCATCATACTAGCAAATTCCTTAACTAACCTGAATGGGGTTCATTTAAATACAGAATGACTTTTCTTGAACGGGAAAAACTAAATGAACTACTTTCTTCTTCAGCATAAATAACAAGTTTTAGGGATAATGAAAGACATATCTGATTCAGCGTTAATGCTTCACGATGGCCCCACAATAAGCGATGAGAAGTAAGCATTATTTCTCCCCCTTCAAAGGAGGTCTGAAAAGAAAATTGTCAGACACATTAAAAGCCATGTTATATTAGTATACCTTTTGATGTCCATCATATAAACGAACATTTTGCTCTCTAGAAATAACAGTTTCGCTTTCTTTTAAAGTTGGAGTAGAATATTCAAGTCGATCCATTTATTATTGAATTATTGAGTTTTTTAATAACTATAACCTAAAAGAGCATCAACATAACCTTAAACGTCACCAACGTCACCTTACGTATAATTGTATCTAATAGAGGGAGCTAAATAGCGCTCTATTTTAAAAATTAGCATTCGTTTTGAATTTTCGCCTGATTATATTTTTTATTATTGCTGCATCCCTAAACAGTGGCGTGATTTGTACGACCTAAATTCTTCTTCAAAATATAGGTTTTTTAAATAAACTAGTTCTTCCCCCGACCATTTTTATTGCTCTATATGACGTAGTGTCGGCCATCATTCTTTTCTAATTGTTGCAGTTGTCGGCCATCATTCTTTCTAATTGTTGCAGTTGTCGGCCATCATTCTTTTTCGATTGTTGTCGCATTGTCACTGATGTCGGCCATTATGGTTTTTTAATAGATGTATAGTAATCAATGATTAAAATTTAAAGGAATTGTTTGTAAATAGGTATGCAACACATCGTATACTTCAGCGTAAGAAATAGCTGATACTAACTTTCATTTGCGTAATACTACTTTGTCCTGTGCTGACAGCACTCATTTCTTTTATATATGTTCTGGACATCTCAAAAATCAATTCATTATTGATTTCGTTTAGACCTTTAATAAATAAAAATAAACTAGTGTGTTAATTTGTTTTATTACGTGAAGAACAATCAAAACATTCTAGAGGAATTACAGTTTAATATATAGCAAATAAAAATCAAACAGAAAAGTAGCTAAGGAAGTAACCATTTCTTTTAATTAAATAATTAAAGCTAAAAATTAATTTATGTTGCTGACCATTCCATTTTTTCTTCGTTTTCCTTAGCATTTTGTTCGGCGTTTTGAGTCTGATTGGTCTGTTCTTGGTTAGAATGTTTTTCTTTTGCCTCCTTGTTTTCTTTTTCTTCTTTGGGAGCTGCAGGTTTAGGAGCAGGTTTGTTTATGATTGGATGAACGAGACTATCAAAATTATTATGTTCCTGACGTATCTGGTTAACCGTTATGGGGGGCGGAACGTGTTTGGGAGTACTGTTTAATTGATTTCTAGCCTGGTCCAGCCACTGGAACGATTGAGATATTCCTTGTTCAAGCTTCTTAGCCTCGTCATCCGTAATGTGACCATATTTGGGATCCTTGGATCTAATTAAACACAAACATGAATAGATCATAAGGAATTTAAAAAGAAAAACCAGGCAATACCCACGCTTACACTTTATAACTACTCACTTTATTTGTTCCAATACTTTATTTCCAAGCTGAATGGATCTTCCGTAGTCATCTAGTACAATGGGTCTTAAATCTGCTTCGATACGCCGCTGTTGAATGGGTTCGCCTTTGCTCTTGAGATCTACCAGTTTGTCCTGGTACACTTGGCGGTTACAGTCTTCGCCTTCTTCATAGAGCCAATTTTCCATGTCTTCCAGCTGACTTATCAATTTCGAACCATCCGTCTCTAACACGTAGGGAGCCAATTCGCCTTCGCATGACAATTTACCCCTTAATTCGTAGACGTATTCTTCCAAAGCATTACGAGCATCGGCTCTTTCTTTTTCTTGTTTGTCAGCTACGAAATGCAAAAACAAATTGTTAAGCAATAAAAGTAATTAAAAGGATATTTAAATATAAAGAAAATAACAAGCATGTACCTGCGATCATTTTGTATTCCTGTTCGGTGTACTGGTTAAGTTCAACTTGGGAAAAGCCAGAAGTGAGAGATTCAATGGGCAGTTCAATGCATTTCACCTTCTTCTTCTTTTCTTTTTTTTCTTCGCCTTCCTGTTAAAAAAAAAGAGGCTAATAGAATAAAAAAATAAATTAAAAAAATAAACGTAAACATTTAACGCAATAAACCCGTTACAATCACATTTAATTTTAAAATGAAATTATTTTGTCACATGAAATAATTTTTATTGTTGTGTAATTTTATTCTGAAAAGTATTTAGTATAATTACTAATATTCTGAGGCGTAGCTTTTACCTTGTATTTCTTCAAAATCGAATTGGTTGAGTGCGCTATTCGGAAATAAGAAGCAAAAAAATTTAGCAGATATCTTATTAAAGTTACTAATCCATTAAAACCAGCCGTTACTTATAATTCTATCGCAAAAAGTCAGAATAAGCAATTCACCAAACATGCACGAACATTACTTTCTTAATGTCCAGACTGTCGCAACAGAGCACCCCCTTTTTGTTTTTAATCAGAAAAAAAATATCTACAATAAAATAATGATAGAAAATGTTATTTTTGGATGTTTTTATAGTAAGCAAATAATTGATCAATTACTAGTGGAAAGACGCAAACGTTTTAAAATTAATTAAAGCAAATGTAGAAATATAAATGTACTCAAGCCATAATTTTGTATTACTCATTTTGACACCGAAGTTAAAAAATTCGTGTTTGACAATTGAAAATAAATAAAAATGAGATTGAGAGGGTGCTCTTGTAGCGAGTGCAAGGTGCTTAAGCATACCCGGCTGAACCAAGCTGAAAGTCTCTTCGTCCAGCTGGGTGAGCCTACCTCTGGTGCCGTTTGGCCGCCTCCGGGGCTCGAATCCACCGGCATCTTCTCCTCCGCCTCACCCTTCTTCTGATTCTGCTGCTGTTGTTGACTCTGTTCTTCCGGTTCTTCAGTGTCCACAGACTCTTTACTTTCAATTAACGAAGCGCTGGAGATCGTCATGATACCATGGATGTTAACTCGCACTTTCACCTTGACCTTCTGCGGTTTGCCATCAGGTGACGGATGAACGTCTTTCACGATCCACGTGCCTGCAACAAAAAAGATACATTCACTTACCAAAAATGAAATGTACATAAAATATACATATATAAATTTTGAAAAATATAAGAAAATTACCAATATTTTTGTCTGGATAAGGTAAATTGCCTGAATACATAGCACGTAGGGTGAAAGGTTCTCTTCTGTAAAACGTAAGCATTTTTGAGAAAGGAGTGGCATGATTGACTGGAAACACTTCGATTTCTCCTGAAGCTTCACCTTCTGCACTGGCATCCCACAATACCGTTATTGGATAAGTCTGAAAATCGTCAAAATTGCAAAAATTTAATTTTTTAGATATATTCAATTTTGGAAAGGTTAAAATTTTTGCTTACTTACCTGAACATCTGTCACGCTGAATTCTCTGACTCGAACAGCAGGTGAAAGCATAGCGCATTGAAGGGCGCAGCCTCTGCTAACTGCTTCATCCTGGTTCAAAGTGGTGCTTGCAGACTTATGAAAGATCTTCTCAATGAGCTGTTTGATAGCTGGAATTCTAGTCGAGCCCCCAACGATTTCAACACTATGTATTTCTTCCAATTTCAGCCCTGAACTCTCCAAACACTGACGTAATGTGTTCTCGACCCTCTGGAACAAGCTTGCACACATGGTTTCCATGTCGCTTCTTTTCATCTCGCTTCTAACATCTTTTTCTTCCATGAAGCATTCAATAGCCAAAGGCAATGTTGTCGAATTAGCTGACATTTGCTTTTTAAGCTTTTCTACCTCAGCCAGGAGTCGTATAAAAGCCCTAGAAATTTTAGACAAGGTTGATACATTCTACAATCAAATAAAAACGAGAAAATACCTTTTATTCAATGTTGCATCTACCCTGTATTTCTGATAGAATTCTTTACAAAAATGATCTGCTAAAATCAAGTCTATGTCTCTGCCGCCCAAATAAGGGTCAAAAGCTGTCGCAAGCATTCTTAGTTTGCCTTTGTGAAAGGCACATGCTGCTACTTGCAGTGAAGCATGGCCCCAGTCAACAAATATAACATTTCTGGGTTTTTCTTCGGGTGCAGGTAAATCCTGTTTGTAAATGCCATAGTTTAGAGCAGTTGCAGTGGTCTCATTAAAAAGACGTAGGACATTAAGACCTGAAATACGTAGGCTTGTATGAAATATTAACATATTAGCCTGTTACTCAACTTACCTGAAATAGCTGCTGCATCTAATAGTGCCTTTCTTTCATTATTGGTATAATAAGAAGGAACAGATATAACACAATCATTCACTTGCGTTTGCAAAGCAGTTGCTGAAGTTTCTTTCAGTTTTGTAAATAGCATAGCCAAACACTGTTCAGGGGAGAAAATGTGTTCTTCACCTAAATAATTTACCTAAAACGAAAATTTATTTGTGAATATACTGCCTTTGAGTTACTAAGATTCCCTACGAACCCTTATACCAATACCACCATTATTTGTTTCAATAACTGTAAATGGAAAATGCTTTATTTCATTTTGGACATGAGGATCTCGAAACTTTCTACCAAGAAGGCGTTTTAAACCATACACTGTGTTTTTCATGTTTGTCACCTGTTGATTTTTAGCAGCCACACCAAGTATTCGATTCTTTCCAGAAAAGGCAACATATGATCTGAAAATAATTATTTTTTGTGTTAACATTAATTTATTTCTGCATAATAATCATTATCTAATAAATGTTAAGTAAATAATTCACGATTTATTCCAAAAACCAAATATAACTACAATAAGCAAAAGTATCTACCTATTATGTAAAATGACTGTGTATTATGAAATTAACAACTGGCAGGTAACAAATTACAAACCATACCTACATAAAGAAGGTACATAGATATTTAAAATATTGATTTTTATTTTATATTGATATCACCATCGATAAATTTACTGCCTCAAGATTTTGTAATTGGGTTAACATTACAGAGTTTATTTTTACTTCTGTTGTTAAAATACGTCTGATTACAATATAATACATTAATGTAATTACAAATAAAACCCAAAAATCTAAGAAGTACATTCGTAATTAGTATTTTTTTCTCAAGGACTGCAAATCGAATGACGAAAAAAAGTGAGGTTGCCATGGCAAAATAAAAATGTGCTCCATACTCATTTTTTTTTACAGATGCACTTCTAATATATAAAATGGTTAAGAAATTAGTTAAAACAACTTACGGGGTAGCTCGTAAACTGTAGTCATTTGCTATTGTTTCAATTCCTCCGGCTTTTGCCACCGCAACATAGCACGATTCATTACCAAAGTCAATACCTATTACCGACATTGCAGCCATGATTTTCTAATTTTCAACAAAACCAAATGAGGAAAGGCGTAAACCCACAATATAAATGCTCTTGGAATGATATAATAAATTGGTAATTACTTAAAAACACCTTTTAAATACTACCGCACAAATACCACAAGAATACTCTGTACTTCAATGACATATCCAAATGTGAACTTTCTAGTTCCTTAGTTTTGATCGGAATACCAACTTACTAAAACAGGAAACTACAGTTTCTAGAAAATTCGGGAACTTTTCGAATCAATGTATGTATTTAAATAAAAATCGAACAAACTGCTATTATTATAAATATTTTTATTTATAAATTACCTCCAAATTTGCCTTTTCATTAGTATACATAAAATAGGAAAGCAAATAAGTGTAGATATTTCTCTATAAATAATTATTAAAATAAACTGCATATACAGGGTGCTCCAAAAATATCATTAATAACGAAAGTATTCTCAAAATATTACAGGATTTGAAAAACTTCTCTAATAAAATAATAAGACAAGTTAATAGCATGACTAAATAAACACCAATTTTAACATTATGTTTAGTGTTATGAACACTATTATCAGAAAAACATTATCGACTAACATAATACTGCCTAAATGCAAAAAGTTTTTTTGATGCAAATGTGTTTTTTATTAAAAATAAACAGTTATTAAAAAAACTAAAAAAATGCTTTCCGAGGTTTTACTGACATCAACAACCCCTAGAGAGTTTATCAAAGTATTTTTGTTTGTATTCTACAATGTTGACATTTAACTGAAACGTTTGAAATTTTTGTAAATAGTAATTCCTTAAAGGAACAAAAATGAATTACATTATATTGCATAAGTGTTTTAAGTGCTTTTACAAAACTTTATTCTGAAAGTATAAATAACGTTTAATCGCAATGGATTTTCGCCCAGCTATGCCCGCGGAAAATGAAACTACGAAAGAATTAACTGTAGCTGATTTTCAAAAAGCATTATTCGAATGGTATAATAGACGCGGGTTGCTCAGTGATCTTCGGGCCCATTTACGGACCCAAATGGTCAGTGCCTTAAAAGATACATCAATAGAACAATGTTTTACATCAAAAAATATTTCGCCGAAGATGCAAGCTATTAATTTGCTTATAGCTGAATTTTTAATGTTGTACAATTATCACTACTCTTTATCAGTGTTTAGCACAGAAGTGCCATTTGCAAACGCGTTAAATTATGTAAATACAGAAAAAGCAGATCATCATAAAGCATTCGATGAACACGACGCTATAGACATCCTCGAAACTGTGGGAATATCTCAAAATACAAAAGAAGGTCCTATTATTTTAAAAAAATATATGGCAAATAATTCCGAACCGTTATTAATGCACATCTTAAAATATTTGATACACAAATTAGAATCTGTATCTGTTAGTAATGTCAATATGAAGTTAAAAGAATTAGCTGACAATATAGATAAAAGCAAGTGGGAAGATGCTTTTAACGAATTTTTTGTAAGTTGCGACTTAGACGAAGAAAATTCGAAAAAACTGATATGTTTGATAGAAAACGTCTTCGAAAAAGAAATCAACGAAATAAAGAAAGCCCATCGTTTAGAAATGGATCGAATGAGATCTGTATTCGAAGAGAAAGAAATTCTTTTAATGGAAGAACTTAATAACGAAAAGTCGAAATGGGAAACCGAATTCAAGAGTTTAAAGCAAAAACTAAACGTCGTACGACAAAGAGAATTACAAACTTTACACAGACACGTAACCCATCTCGCAGAATTCGAGAAAACGTTGAAGATAAAGCAGGAAGATTTACTGAATCAGCAAAAGAATATCGAGGATAAAGAACATCGTCTCAATGCATCTTTCAGAAGACTACAAGAAGAAAGAAAAGAAATGCACGAAATCAAAGAAAAATTGATAGAAGAAAAGAAAACTGCGTCCAAAGTAAGAAAACTATTGGAGAAGGAGAGACTGTTAAATAATAATGAATGCCCTATGGTAAAACCTATAAAGTCGTCCTCTTCCCAAGAAGGAAATACTGAACTAAAGCAAGACAGTTCAAAACTGCTCAACCTCTTATATTCTAAAGACGAAGTAGAGGACATTGCAAAAAAAAATGAGAAACCCCCGACAGTAAAGCACGAAAAGGAACAAAAAAAAATTATCGACAAATTAAAAACTGAAAATAAAAAGATGCAAAGCGAAATTGTAAAACAGAAGGAAAAGATTCAGGAATTGTCTTTTAAAATATCAAACCTTATTTTAAACACCAAAGGGATTGTAGTGCCCTGTTTAGCAAATTCTGGGGATCACAAGCAAGGTATTTTTTATATCATCTATATATATATAACTACAAAACTAACTTGCTTCTTTTATTTCCAATTATATCCCGCTTTCGAGTCATTATGTGTATCATTTATATCAATCCTTCACCTTCTTCTCTCATCAATTGGCTTTTTTGTTTTATTTTTTCAAATTATTTTATTATTTCGTATTTTCCTTTTTCACTTATTTTTGTCTATATTACATCTACTTCTTATCTGCCCTTGTTCTCTACTAATCAGGTATCAATCAATCAATTTGCTTATTCTACTTCTCATTTTTTACAATTTTGGGATATCTATCTTATTCTTTCTCCCTTAATATTTTTTTGGGCACGTTCGTGTACCAGTTTTAATCCTTAATTATCTTTTACATTTCCGATTGTCGTCTTCTCTTATTTTCTTTTTTTAAAAACTTTCCTCAAATAGTTAATTTTTTAAGAAAATGAATGATCAGGCTGTAGTTTTAGAACACGGTAAGAAGATTCATGGAGACGAAACTTTAGAAAGCGTATTTGTTTCCAAAAAACATCCAGAAGACGATAACATGTCCGAGCAAGTGATCAATGTGGCTAGAGAATATTTGAACCAAATAAAATGTGACAATGTTCAAGTGAATAATAATTACCAACAAATTATGTCAATGTTTAACACAGCAAAGATGCAGAACAAATGAACAAGGACCTCAATACTGTTTTTAGTCTATCTTATAAAATCATATACATACATTACATAATTAAAAGTACTTTTTTTATTTAAGACATTTTGTTTTCATTTCCTGTAGTAGTAGTATTTATTAAAAAAAATGTTACAAAAAAATACCCTAAAACCACAGGCGCTTATCATTTAAACCAACTAAAAAACATTCTTAAATCTTAAACCTTTACCTAAACATTTAAAATTAAACCTTTGCCTTCTGTTCTTAATATTTTTTTGTTTTCTTTTCGTACTTTAATTTCCACACCCTCTTCTTCACAAGACTCTCATTTCTTCTTCTGCATGTTCTACATTTTCTCTCTTCGTTTTTCAGCCAATATTGGTTCTCATTGCATTCATTCCCATTCTAAACTTTTCTGTAACAGTTTCAAATATTCTGTTCATCTCCTTGCAGATCTCCCTACAATCACCCTTCCATCCCTATCGCATAAATCGACCTTTGTATTCTTCTTAAGTTTTCCCATAATATGTCACCTCCTAACACCCTTTCCTTAACATATTACCTCTATTCCTTCCCTCATTTATCCATTTTAACAGTTGTTCTTTATTTATCATCATTTTCTCCAACCCTTTTTTCCTTTCCTCATCATATCAACTACTTCTCATCCCAAAACCCACGATTTTTTTATTCATACAATGCTTCTCTTCTTGTTCCTCCTTGTAAACTCTCTAATTTCAATTTTTCCTTATATATCTGATTGTTCTCCTTCTAACTCCTCCACAATTTCTCCACATTTCGTTTCTTTTGCTGATATGTACAGTCCAGCGTGCTTCTTTTCAATTTTAACATCCATTTTATGTGCTTTTTATAAATATTCTCCACNGCATAATTTTTTGTCCAATTTCCCGTCTTTTTCCCATTTTGTTTTCATTTCCTAATTAATAGTTTCATCATCATTACGTCTACTCCTCCCTATCCTGTGCCATCTTCCCATTTTCCGTAAACTGGGTCATTATATGCGAACAGTAATCTAATCTGAGTCTTCCACGTCTTCCTCCTCTGTTAACTCCTAATTCTGCTTCTGAAATATCTCCAAATGATCTTTTATGTCACACACAAAACAATATTCTTGCCTCACTTGTTAACTTCTTGTCTTATTTTGATCTTTAGTACATATTTTCTATCCACGGTGTTTTCATCATTCGCCCAACTTAAAAGTAATTAAATAAATACACATACAATAATGGTGGTTTAATCTATTTACGAGGATTAGTTAGAAACATAATAGAAGCAGAAAAAGGAATAAAGAAAGACACAAAAGATGTAGATTAAATAAAGGTTCAGGATTACTTGGGGATGTTCTAGTTTAGCTCAGGATAGGAAAAAGTAGAAGTGCGTGCCTAACTAATCTTCAGACTGACGTATGGCGACCTCATGATACTACGATGATGATGAATTTAAAAATATTTTTGAAACTTTCCCTACATAAACACACTTTGCAAAAGATTGACAAAATATTTTTTCTGTAATACTTATCGGAGCAATAAACAAAACAACGTTATTTTTATTATCTAAAGAAAATAGCACTTCAAAATTTTATCAATGTAATTAATGTCTAGTAAATATAGTACCTTACGATTAATAAGAAAATATATGTATAACTACGCATATATTAGTAGTATTTGAATGATCGTAAAACGAGTACTTTTTCTTTTTGAAGCAATAAGTATTTCCAACAGGAAAATCATGGCAAATACACACACTAAAATGGCAAACAACAGTCTGATAAGGAAACATTATCATAAAACGATGACACAGGATTCAAAGTTCACAAATTCTTTGATTAATATTCATAAATTTATACATCATACTTCGCGACTTCCTATTATTTTTCGGTCTACTGAAGTACTGAAAAATAAACGGGTTCACCACACCATATTGTCCTAAAAAGGCAATCAAACTAGATCGATAATAAGAAAGCATACTATTCCAAAAATGTTCTTAAAGATCCAATCACCAATGATTTTTTTGAAAACATTTTCAAAGCATTCAGACCCACTCGCAAAGTTTACAAGTTTTATTAGTCTTAGATATTTATAACATGTGATAAACTTCGTAAAGATAAATTCAAAAGTTGTGGAAATAACAAAATTCTTCATAAATTTCACCGAGTATCCAATATCACAAAAATTTGATGTTACAACTATTAACAAATTGATGAGATTCAAACTGCGTTTTTTTAACAGTTTATAACTACTTAAAGGTAACCCTAAAATTATAAAATTAATGCTAATGGTACTGCTAAATAATAATATAAAATAGTGTTTTGATTAAGATTAAACTTAGAGCACAAATTTTTATGGACAAAACAATATGTAAAATTAAAAAGTTTCTGAATATCTCAAAAACTAAAAACCATTCCATAACCGACACTAATCTTACTAATCTGAGATCTCAAACTCAAGCACCATAATAGATTAAGATAGAACACCAATAACTAATTTATAAGTTGAATAGATAATACTATTCGAAACTAGGAAGAAAGTTCAAAGAAGATAGATTAATATACTTTTAAGAATGAAGTCTTTTATTACAATTTAATTATCCATATTATTTAAATAGTTTCTAAATAAAACGTAATAACTTGTCCCCTGTTTTATAATTTTTTTCAAGGCTGAAAGTTCTAATGTTAATCTGTGCAATTTATGATTTTTTAAAAAATCAATGTCAAAATCATTAAATTAACATTTAGTTTTATTTATTAACTGAAATGCAATTTGAATAAAATCCTCTGGTCCACATTTAACACAGCTACAAAGTATAAGAGTCGTTAGTTCCATATGTTACAGTAAAATAGTAAATCTTAGAATTGAGATGGTAAATTTAAGATGCAGATACAGATAAAATTGATATAAAATGAGACAATTTTTCGGGCAATTACAAGCCAAGTTTCACCAACGACTATTAGTAAATTTTAGTTTTGAGAATAAAATATTGTAATTATAATTAGCAATCATTTATGGAGTCAATAAGTTATCCATATAACTTTAATACATTTTTAAAATCCTTTTATTGGATAAGAGACAGTGCTGCCAAAATAGTTTGTTTAACGTGAAAGATCAGAGCCAAAATAGGGTTGCAAATAATTTTATTGATATAAAATCAACATCAATCATTTTATATCAAAATATTTACAACCCCATTTTGTTTCCGATCTTTTACGCATTGTAATAAGAGAAAGAAATGGAATCCATAGTTTCTTTAGCTTTGGGTTCATCTAATAAGTGAAGTTTTTCGAATCGTTTTCTAAGAATTTTGGATTATAGGCATTTATTAGCACACGACAATATCTTGTCGTTTTCAGTTTTACACAGCTGGCGTATATCAATTCGATATTGTTTTGTGGGTACTGATCTGTTAGTACCGCTTCCATTTTATTTAAAACTCCTCCTTGCTAGATACTAATACTGCTATATCATCCACAAATCGAAGCATACTAATCGTTTGCCCCTGTAAATCTATCCCTACAGTTCTACTGTCTTTAATGATGTTGATCGCGTCTTCGATGTATAGATTAAAAAGTAGCGGTGACAGTGTGCATCCCTGTTTGACTCCCTTCAACGTTTAAATGGAACATATATTATTTGTCGTCAGATTTACTTGAAACTTGGTTTTAATGGTCTCCCATTTAATTTCTGAAAGACCTATCTCGACATTTTAAACAATTCAACCTCCAAAGGGGGGTTGGGGTAAAAAGGTGTTGCAATTTTTGTTTAGGACATACTTTATTTGTGGTTGAATTTACTTGAAACTTGGTATATATGCTATTTGATATTATTAATCCAATGAAAAGAGGTTGCAACGTTTCCATGGGGTATATTATATTGCAAATACGTGTTTTGGCAATTTTTAAAAATCAACTCTTAAGGACGAAATGTTGTTGCTATGTTTGTATTTGAAATCTAAGATGGCGACATTACATAAAATTAAAACGTTGGAAAGGTGAATTGGGAGTTAAAAGGTTTTATGGAGACACANTTTTTTTGTATTTGCATTAGAAATTCAAATATTTTAAATAAATCACATCTCTGTCTATTATCTATATCGGCTAGAGTACATGACAGTTTGACTTCTCTCCACAATAGTGCTCATAAATAAATAAATACATATACATATAAATAATCACCCAGCTTTAAAACCTCTCCACTGCATACAAATCGGACTCGCAGGCTTACACTCTCGCGAGAAACAGTCGCGAAAGCGCCGGAGTGATTGGTGCTTATCAGAATTAGAAAATAGCGCAAGCTTCACATTAGTTGGTCAGTATCAAAAATGTTACGAGTGAAGAATATACAAACTGTAATAGTCTTATAGAAATTCGAACCGTTTTTATATACTTTCCTATACCTTTTATTATTATAATAAACGATCGAAAAATGAGCGGAAAAAATAAAGAAATAAAACGCGCTAATAAATCGTCATCCTCATTGAAGTGCTGCCAAGTTTTTGATTCGATGACTTCCTTATCCGCGGCTGATCAAGGTATTGTTTGCGAGGCCATGAACAATTTCGTTGTAAAACCCTCCGGTCCTAAAGAAGTGTACAATAACAATTACAACTATCATACCAACACGTACGAAATCAAACACGAATTTCCGAAAAGGCCGCCAGCTACATTAAAATTCGAAAAAGTTACATATACATCGACGACCTGGTCTTTGCCAAAATTTAAATCAGGTGAGAGTTACCTATATTTAATAAATTTATTCCAAA